TATATATTCTATTAGCGAGGACAAGGACACTGTCATAAAAAATTTCTTGTAGTGTTGGCCAAGAAATTAGAACAATTTTACGACATCGTTCATATCGAGTATTTCATGTAGTTAGCAACATATTGTTAAGAGGCAAACTCTTCGAGGAGCTAAATTGTGGCAAAGTCCAGGAAAAAAACATAAATAATTTCAAGAATGAGCACTCTTTCATACAGCAAATAAACTTTTTAACAAGAACAGTTTTATTAAGAAATTAACAAAAACTAGACCAATGTCAAATAGCAGTTCGATGGTGAATTTTTAGTCTATATTATAGCAATTTTCTTTGAAGGTGGTTAAACTTTCTTCAAATAGAGGGATGAAAACGTCTATGCTACCATCCCCTATAAAGGAGGGCAGTAAGAACATCATGCCCTCCGTTGGATAGTAACTTGGCATAAAAATAAACGGGCGCCCTCCTCCAAAATCAAGTTCCATAAAATGGAAACCTTAACCAACTATCCACCTCCAAATTAGGGCACAATATAGTTTTTGTCATGTCTGCTGTTGTTATCAGATTTTCTTCCTTTACCTTAAAATTTGCGAAGTCGATAAATGATCTAAAATAGTTGTTGTTTACCTTTGTAATTGCATCATGAATGAGTTTTGCTGCTTAGAATAAGGGTTCTTGAAGAAGGGTTTTCACTTTTGCACTCGGGAATGCCCAAAGAACCAAGTTCCCAAAGTANTTGCATCATGAATGAGTTTTGCTGCGTAGAATAAGGGTTCTTGAAGAAGGGTTTTCACTTTTGCACTCGGGAATGCCAAAAGAACCAAGTTCCCAAAGTAATCATACGAGATTTTAGGGTTCAGCCTCTGTCGGCCATCAATCGAGATACGTATTTGGGACGTTTCATGTTCATTGAGGCATCGGGACTTGGTTATGGCTCTCCAAAGATGTGCAACTAGGCTTTCGAATGTGCTGAATGGTTTATTGTTGTTTCCATTCATTGAAGAAGCCTTGTCCTTGATCTTTGCAAGAAACTCTACTGTGTAGTGAACTTTGTGGACTACAATGTTGTCCACACTGTTGTACTTAAGATTATGGGTTTCCAAGCTTCGACTCCTTTGTGCTCAAACTCAAAGATAGGAGGGTTTCTAGGAGTGAATATGGTACGATCATGCAAAGGGAGCGGACTAATTTCGAGTCCTCGACAAGCTTGGCCCCATGCAACCAAGAATTTGCTAGTGGAATGCCCGTCAGCAACAAGGTGGTGACTGGTGAAGCCCACCACCAATGAGCCACATGTGAACCTTGTGAGCTGAACTTGGAGCAACTCGACCACTTCCTCAGATAATGAGTCTTTCTCTCCCAATATGTCTTCAGGGGCTCCAGGGAAAACCCTAGGGTGAAGGCTTAGCAAATTTGCAGAAGGTTTAAGGAGCAATGCTTGATCAAGAGGGCCATCGACATATGCCTCAATGAATCTAACACCCTCATCATTGAGAAGTATGATAGGTTCACCTTTATCATCTTTGCCTAGCCTCCCGGCCCACTCCCGGTACACGACCAACGCCTTCTGCAGCCCTACCTCTATGGCCATATTTGGTGGAGTTGGCGGATGATAGGCGTAAATAATAGCCATGTGTGAGTCATAAGTTGCCTTATCAAAGACTGAAAGGGAAATGTTGTTTCTTTTTAGGGGAGGGGTGTCTTCATATAAAGGTTTAATGATTCTTGAGCTTCTTAATTGCACCTTCATGGCTATGGCTAGAGGGGACAATTTGCACTTCAAGTTGGTTTGAGTTTCATTCATGAGGCATTGCTAGTATTTATTGTTGGAATTAAATGAATTATTTAGCCCCTGGGACCAATTTTTTACCTCATTTTAATGAAAATTCCAACCGTTACATGTAACCAGTAACCGCAGCAACTTTTGACTGCACCATCTCATAGTGGGACCCATGTGTTGGAAAAAAAGAGTCAAAAAATTAATTCTTGTGTTCAAATAATGGGAAACAAACGAGGTGTTAATTATACTAAGCCCTTATTTGGTCTCCATTATTTTCAAAATACATTTTTCTTTCTTTATTTTCAAACACACATTTTTTAATAAAATAATATTATACGGAAACCCAAATTTTTTTTTTTAACCATACATTCTTCATCAAAACATTATTTCAAAATGCACATTGGCCATTGGGCAAAAAAGGGCTCAAACAGGTTCTAAGAGTATCACCAAGAGATTCTCTATTTTTAAAAAAACATACTTTCCAATTTAGAGAGCATCTATAATATTTAACGAGTAGAAATTTTTAAGTACTCCAACATGTTCTTTATATTTAATACTTAATTTTACTACTCCTAAAAAATATTTGTTATTTTTCATATTTTTTATTTTCACTAGCTTCCCTCTAAATTATTATATTCTTTTTTTTCATTGAAAATTAAAATATTTTGAATGCATTTAATTATAAAGAGTGACTCTATTTTAAAATGTTAATTTAAAAAGTATCTTCAAGTATATAATTTTAAAGCTTGATTCTTTAAAATATAGAGCATTTTATATTTAATTAAGTAGTAACGGAAACCCATTTATTGGCCAACTTTGTAGGAGGATGGCATTTATAAGGCGGTAATTATTTTTTAATGAGGCAATTTATTGTTTGAATTAAATTGGTTTGGAAACCTCGTAAAATAGATGATGGCAGATAGATGGTCCAAAGATCAATATTTATATCATCTCTTATTTAATTTATTGTTCAATTATAAGACTTTAATTAGGGGTTATTATGTCATTTTAGTAGGGGAGTTTTCTTAAGATTTTACTAAATAAGCGAGAGTTAAGATTTCATTGTAAGTCCCTGTTTGTTTCCCATTCTCTTATCAAGAAAATGCATTTTTTGACCATTTTTTTCAAAAGAAGTGGGTCCCAAACACCGAGACAAAATTGTCCAAAATTGCGATTGATGAATTGTTGCAACGGTACAAAATTGCATTTTTATGGAAAACAAACAGGGGCTAAGTTGGTCCTTTTTTTACTAATAAATATTGAATCTGTGGAATCTCATTCAAGATGATTATGCGTGAATCAACGAGTTTTATTGTGCATTTCATCTTTATTCACGCTCGGTCCTTATATGTTGGTATTAGAGTGAATTTGTGCACGTGATATATGGTTTCTAGACATCGGAGTCCGACTGGGAAACACAACTATAGGAGATCGAGCATGAGAAGATGACACACTTGCTCGTGCAGTAATCTGCTGCATTTTGAAATTCTTTTCTTTGCTGATTCCTCTAAATGAAAAAATCTCCACTCCTTTTGATCCTGAAAAGTGCGATGAGTTATATGATGATGACACCCATGATGGACCATCTATCTTTGACGAAGAGATTGAAATCTTTTCCGATTTGGATGGTGGTAGATACATCGGTGCACATATTTCTAATGAAGGTCTCGACTCCATGGACCAGAAGGTTGAGGATTTGAGCAATTATGGCTTGATCGGGGAACCCAATTATGATTACATGGAGGAGCTCACTATTACTAAGGCCATGTTTGATTCACATTAATTTTTTTATTCTCATTCTTCTACTCATTCTCAATCACACATTTTTCAATAAAATAATATTTTTTATCACATCAATAACCTTTCCTTCTTATTCACCCACATATTCTCCATCACATCAACAGTAAAAATGCATTCTTTTTTTCAAAAATATGCACCAAACGGGGGCTAAGGTTATTAAACTTCAATAATGCCATCCAAAAATCCTATTAAAATCTCTAGTTAAAGTCGACCTTCAATTTTAATCACACATTTTATGAGACCCATAACTTTTCAACCATCAACTTTTACAAAATATATTAAAAATCTGATTTTAATCTCTATCAAACATGGGCTTAGTTTGTCATCAACCATGTTTCCAAAAAATTGCAGGTAAAGGGGTTTTTTTTTTTAAGTGTCCAATGGTGTATTGTCACGTAGCACAATATAAATAACAATGTAAAAGATGATGTACATATAGCGTGATTGATTAAACTTTATGACAAGGTTCGGTAAAAATCTAGGAGAGATGCTTGATGTACACTCTTGGGTGTACATCATGCATTATACTCCTCTCACAATGGTGGGGGCCCGCAATTTAAAAAATCGCGGACCCCA